TGAATTAAATTTTTTATTAATCATTCAAAATTTTTGAATGATTAAGTATAAAATATTTTAGTAGATGAATTAACAAAGAAGATATTAATCAACTTCTGTTATTTACGTTAATATTTGAAATTTTTCTTTCGGAATTTCTTATAAATAAAGGAAATTGTTCAACTTAAGAATATTTTATTGCAACACAACCTGTGTATTAAATAAAGTTTCTTTCAAAGAAGGAAAAAAAACAAATCAGAAAAAAAATGTCAGTCAATTTATTTAAGCATTTCTTCTAATCTATGTTTTTCTTTTAATAAGCGAGCAAGTTCTTTGTCTTCTTTTTGAAGTTTTCTTTTTATTGAAAATTCGTCTGACCTTATCTTTTTTGCCTCTGTTTTTTTAACTTGACCTGTTATTTTTGCAAGTTCTTTTCTTCGTTTTTCTGAAGATTGGATATTTGGTTTACCATTGTGTTCGAGGAGATATTGCATTGTTTTCAATTTACGAGGAATTTTTAAATCATTTTCTTCTTTATATGGAAGGTCCTCTGGTTGGTGAGATTTAACTTCTGCATCTTTTCGTGATTGTGGACAAAAAGGGTCACATGTTTTGATTTTTGAATGTCTTGTCTTTGGCATCTGAATAAATAGATTTTTCTTTTTAATAATTATTGTGATAAATAACAAAAATAATCAAAGAAAAATCCGTTTAGTAAGAAAAGTAAATCATCACAAATACAAATAGATAATTTTACTTGAGAAACAAAAGATATAGTAAATAAAGTCATGATAAATCTATACTTATTAAAAATGAGAGATAATGAAAAGTAGTATTACTTTCAAAATTCCTTATCAAATTGTTTATCTAATGAACTCTTTTCAATAATTTAGGGAACATGGGAAACGGTAATAGTACATTGAGATTAGGAAACGAAAAATTATTAATTAAGAAAATACTTTCTACAGGAAGGAATTCAACCATCTACTTGACAGAACAAAGTTCATCATCTACTCTTCCTCATAATTTAGTTTGTAAAAGATTTGAACTTACTACATCTGAAATGATTGGTAAAATTACTGATGAAATTTCATTATTATCTCTTTGTACTAGAACACCAAATATCATTCAATACTATGGATATACTCAATTAACTGACTCTATGCTTTTATTTTCTGAATATTGTCCTTATACTATAGATGATGCTTTCTCTTTACCAATACCAGAAGAAACAATTATTGAAGTGTTTCATGGAATTGCAAGTGCACTTGCTTTTCTTCACAGTCAGAAACCATCTATTACCTATTTTAATCTTAGAAAAGAACATGTTTTATTATCAGAAGACTATACTGTAAAACTATGTGACTTTGGAAGTGCTCAACTATCAGAGACATTTTATTATAGAAAGCCAAATGACCATCAAATAATCAAAGAGTTTATTAATAATAATGTTAAATCTGAATATCAATCTCCAGAAATGATATTATTATATGAAAATCAACCAATTAGTAGAAAAAGTGATATCTGGGCACTTGGATGTTTATTGTTTGAGACTGCAATTGGAACACCACCATTCTCTGCACCACTTTGCATTTCCGATGTAAAACAATTAGATTTAACTGATTACCAAATGTCAAAACGAATGAAATCTTTACTTAAAGAAATGCTTGTTTTTGATCAAAATAAACGGCCTAATATATACACTATCCTAGAACATTTTAGTCAAGTTGTTGAGTTTAATAATCCATATAAATCATTTATGAAAGAAACTGATGATGATATGGGTTCAACTCAGTCATCAGGAACTAAAACTCCTTCTTCACTATCACAAGATTCTAAACAATCTTTATTTTGGCAACTTCTTGATAAAAAACAAATTGATTGCTCTATTGAAAAGAGTGTACTTGATACTTTTAATGAATTATAGATTTTTTTTTGATTATAAAGTTTTAGTTGGTTTACTATTATTATTATTTTTTTTTACATTTCTTCTTATTAATTTGTTTATAATATACTCATTATTAAAAAATATATAAAGCAAATTTGTTTTATTTTAACGTCCTTTTAAAATACTTTAAATTTATGAATAGTTTTTAAAATTTCTTCTTCATAAAATTAAATCAGAAAACCGAATTAATATTATTTTAAATAGTGAAATTGGTTTTTATTCTTCATTTTTTCTGATGAAGAAATTTTATAAAAGAAAATAAGATATGAATTGTTTTTTTCTTTGACATTTTTGAGATAAATTTAACAGGGTTTATTTCGAAATATAGAAATACAATCTTAAAAAACAAGATTCTTCTCCATTTATTCTTATGACAAGTCTTATTTTTATTCTTTTTGCTTTACAAACTTCTGCAATAATAACAACATACAACTTAGGTTGTAAAGTAACATCAGTAAGTTCATCTGAGCAATACCAAATTGATAACGGACACTTAGTATTAACTTTCTATTCAGATGATTCTTGTACACAAATTACAAGAAAAGAAGAGGTAATGGCTATTCAAGCAAATTGTGAAATAGCACAATCTCAAATTAGTTGTTTAACTGAATCTATTAAAGAAAGAAAAGAATTTAATTATTGTGACTCTGGAAGAAGAAAACATGTTACTTATGGACTTGCCATTGGATATCCTTTTGCTGTTTTATGTTTAGCTGCAGTAAATCTTGGACTTGGAAGAAGAATTCCAATCATCAATATTTTCTTATCACCCTTTGTTTTCGCATCATTAGTTGTTATGTGTGATAGAATTATTTGTAAAAAAAATGATTTTGAAGTTATTGTATCATCAGGGATCTTTGTTTCAGCTTTGTTATTAGAATTAATTATAATATTCATAACACGTATCTTTTATAGAGACACAGATTTTTATAACAGAGTATTTGCTGCACATAGTATTTTAATGGAATTATGGAATGGAAATTTCAATCACAATCTCCCTGATATTTTGAATAGATATATCTCTGGAAAACCAGAAGGAAATGTTTATGGAGAATCTTATCATTATATAAGTAAAATATTAAATAAAAAATCTAATGGTGAATATCAACAGATTGATGAAGAAGATACTGATTACTCAAAACTACTTACAAAAACTACTTTTAAAACAACTCAAAGAATTTCTTATAAAAGTTGGGAAAAAAATACTACTAAATTACCTAAATTACCTACTAATTCAATGTTAAGAGTTACAATTGAAGAAGGTATTAGACTTTCTCCAGGTACGGTTCAAGCTCAAAACGAAGTATATGATAAAATTACTACAATTTGTAAAAACAAAGATACAAATTATAGTGTTACAATAAATTGGGAAACACCATTTATTTATAAAAACTTTTATGTAGTGCAAAGTAGATTCTTAGATTTCTTATTAAGTTGGAAAATTTTTGGACTTCTGTATGTATTTTCAATGGCAGTTGGATTAAATTTATTGGTGGATTGTATTTGGAGATTCCTTGAAACACCATTTAAATTCAGAATGGAAAAAACAGTTTCAGTAGACAATGACTTACCAATGAAATGGTAATTTTTCATCATCATTTATAAGTGATTTTTCTTTAGTAATATCTAGTTATATAAAACATAAAAATAGTTTTTTAATTTTAGAGTAATAAAAAAAGAATAATAAAAATACAATGAATAAAATTATAGAAAAGAAGATAAACAATTCCAAAATCGATAAAAGAATTAAAAATAGTAAATATTCAAAGGTGAATGATTAATGAAAATTTCTGGAAAAAAAATAATAGAAAATAATTTATTAAAAGAATCAGTGAAACTAAGAAAAAAACTAAAATTAATTATTGTTAAAAAAATAAATGGTAGTTATCATATATATTGGAATATTTATTATTCAGTCTTTGGCTTGTGAATGTTTACATAAAATTTCAGAATTTCATTGTACACAATGTTCTGAAGGATGTTTTCTTCAATTACAAGATAATACAGAAACTGGTATTCCTTCATTAGTATGTAGTCAAAGTGCCAATGCATTAGAAAATTGTGAAGCTAGTGATAGTAGTGTTTGTATTAGATGTAAAGCAGGATATAGATTAAATGGTAATTTATGCGATAAATGTATGGAAGGATGTAATTATTGTAATTCTACACATTGTTATCAATGTGGTAAAAAAGAGGATGGTACACAACTTTATCTTTCTACTGATGAAAAGTCATGTGTTGATTGTTCATTATCAGAAAATGATGAGGCATGTGGAAGATGTCCAGCTGGAAAATATTTTGATATACAAAATAAAGTTTGTACTGAATGTATGGAGAATTGTGCACTATGTACTGACCAATATAATTGTTATCAATGTAATAATTATAAATTATTAAAAAAGAATGATGGAACAGAAAGGAATCCAGATCAATGTATTTCTATTAATAACTGTGCTGATTTGAAAGAAGACCATTGTGAACGATGTAATGATGGATATAGATTAGAAGCTGGTAATTGTGTAGAATGTGGTAGTAATTGTAAAGTTTGTTATAAAGATAGCAATGATAACAAAAATCATTGTACACAATGTGAGAAAGACTTTGTTCTTTATAAAGGGACATGTTCAAAAAAGGATGCAATATTTTGTGAAGAAGGGTCTGATACTTATGGATGTTTACAATGTATGCGTGGTTATTTCTTTAACTCTAATTTAGAATGTGAAAAATGTAGTCCAGAATGTGGAAGTTGTGTTAGTGAAGCTACACATTGTCTTTCATGTGCTGATGATTATTATTTTGATAATACAGCTTGTGTTAAGAAAGATGATAATTGTGCTTTAGCTGATCAAGCAGGGTGTAAAGAATGTAAAAATGATTTAAGTGCTGAAGGACAGAAAACACGAGGTTATTATGTTCCAACTGGAAAACAAAGATGTGAAGAATGTGCTGAACATTGTAAATTATGTGAAGGAAAAGCAAATCATTGTACTGCATGTACAACGAATTATACTCTTAAGAGGGTTAGTGGAGATGAATTAGATGAAGAACACTCAGAATGTGAGTATATGGATGATAATTGTATTTCAACAGAAATGGGATATTGTACTGAATGTAAGCCAGGGTATTTCATTTCATCAGAAAGTAGTTCACAAAAATGTATTAGTTGTGATAAGTCTTGTGCTACTTGTAAGAATAGTAATTCATGTTTGTCATGTAATAACGACTATTTCTTACCAAAAGATTTTAATAATGATAAAAATGAAAGTTTGTGTAGACCAAAAAGTGATATTAATATGACATGTCAAGCTGATGCTAATGGTTGTACAACTTGTAATGATGGATATTGGATTAATTTAGATGATGAATCAGCATATAATTGTAGTTTATGTCCGTCTGAATGTAGTACTTGTCAGTATAGTTCAGTTAGTCAAATGCCAATTTGTACATCATGTCCTAGTGATAAAGAATATGTTAAAAATGGTAAATGTGCTCCATGTAATGAATTAAAGCATTGTGCTACTTGTTCAGGAGATAAGTGTGCTTCATGTGAAGATGGATATAAGTTAGATGCAGGAGCAATGTCTTGTTCAAAAACCAATTGGGCATTAATTATTCCATTAGTAATAGTAGCTGTTATTATTATTGTTGTACTTCTTCTTGTCCTTATAGGTATTATTTGGTGGAGAAGATCAAGAAGTGTTAAAGCAGAAACTGCAGCAATTAAACCATTCCATGTCTCTTCAGATCTTGAGTTAATTCTTCTTGAAGCAGATAATGAAAAATTCCCATTAAAAACAGATAAATGGGAATTAACATTTAATTTGGCTAAATCTAAAGCAGTTGTTGATCAAGAATATGAAGAAACAGTTAATTTAGCTAATATGTCAAAGAAAGAATATTACTTTGAATTCCATTACACTCCATCTCATAGATATGATTTAGAAATTAATCCAAAAAGTGCAACATTAAAACCAGGAACTGCTATTCAAATTACATTTAAGATTAAAATGTTATGTACTGCTTCTGTTAGTGATAATATTGGTATTTCTGCTATGGATGTTGATGACCAAAATAAAGAAACAGCCAAATTTAGTATTACTATTGAATCTGATTTATCATTGAAATTAGACCATACTGAACTTAAACCAATTATGCCACCAATTGGAGAAGGTGCTTTTGGTATGGTATTTAGAGGAACTTATAGAGGAAGAGAAGTTGCTATTAAAAAGATGAAAGCAAGAAATTTAACACAAGAGCAAGAAAAAGAATTTAATCATGAAGTATCTATGATGACTCAATTAAGACATATTTGTGTTGTAGAATTGATTGGAGCAGTATATACCGAAGGAGAAATTGCTATTGTTACAGAATTTGCAGAATATGGATCATTAAGTAAGATTTGGGGAAAACAATTCATTAGTTACCAATTAAAAGTCAAAATATTAGATGATATGGCTG